AAAAGCACTTTGTGAAACTGCGTTGAGGAAAACCAGCACAACGAAACACGCTTTTCATGATGCGATGATCACCTTCAGCAGGCGTGGCGTGAGGATCCTCTCAGGATTAAACCCTGCACACACTCAGCCCTGCGTCTCCCCCGTTTCTCCTGACCTCATCCATCAGCGAGTCGCGAGGAAACCCGCAAACCCCATTACCGAGTTATGAGATATTTATGAGTGACCGCTCTTTCCCACAATCCCTCACTCGTCCTTTATTTTCCGTCACACCTTCATTCTCGGGGCTGTATCAGCAGATAAGGGTCACACTGGTGTTAATTAAAATTTCATGGCAGATTAAATGCATACACACACACACACACACACGGTGTTTGGATTAAAGCCGTCAGCGGCGGCCCGTTATCCAGGAGAGATGAAGGTTTAATTAGAGAGGAAGTAGGTTATAAGACCCTCTTCACACACCAAATCCTCAAATCCTTCCTCACGGACACACTGGGGAAAATCATACGAGCGGAAAGCTTTAGAGTTAGAGAAGGGCTAGGTCACCTCAGAAGTCATACTCCATACTCCAAGGCCTGTAAATGAGCAAAACTTGACTGTCGCACAATCTAAACAAAGCTTTATTTGAACTCTATAAAGCCCACTGTATCATTGATGTCACGCAGTCAATCTCTCAGTCCTGGCTCTGATTGACAGTTCAGACTCTTAATAGTCTTGTATTATAAGTGTACAAACGTCCTTCAGCGTCAAATCTGCCCGGATTTTATCAAGGAAACGCAGGAATAACTTTCATATTGTTCGTAATATTGAAATAGGACTGAAGGAGGTTTACTTTAATATCATCATCATCATCATCATTTATTATCAAAATCATAATACGAGAATCAGGTTTATTAGTTCATCTGTCAATCATCATTGCATTATGTTAGAAAACTACAGAGCTTTGATCATAAAACTAATATCGTCTTACTATATTATTGGTAGAAATTGGTAGAAAACGGTATCTGCTATATTGAGACTATATTCGTCAGTTTTGTCCATATAAATATCAACATCAGCTCCAGATTGCATATTTTTGCTCAGTTTGAGCCTCTGAATAAAACTAAGCTGTTTGGTCCTCCATATTCTCACTATATATGAGCCATAAAAGCTTGACGTATCAAATTTAATTCAAAACCCATGCAATTATTTTGTCTAAAGGTTCAATAATTGATGCTAATAGACATCTGTAACTATCAGCACAGCTATCATGATCCTCCTCACACATAACAGAGACAGACGCAGTTATGCAATACTTCAATCAATACTGCAAAACTGCATATTAAACGTTTGCTCGTGTCATCTAAACGTCTCACTGCAATTACGTCCATTGTTGGCGTTCAGAAACTAACTATAATAAAGCTAAAACATCGATATAAACTTAAAAAAATATAAAAATTATATAATCAAATTAGTGCTGACAGAGGCAACTAATCGCATCCAAAATAAAAGTTTGTTTAATATATGTGTGTGTGCGCTGTGTAGTTATTTGGTGTATATATATATATATATATATATATATATAAAAATAGACACACATGCATGTATATATTTAAAAAACATTTGCATGTATATACAATATATATATATATATATATATACATAATTTGAATATTGTGCAAAAGATCAGTAATTCAACTTAAAAGGTGAAACTAATATATTATATAGACTCATTACATGCAAAGTGAGATATTTCAAGCCTTTATTTGTTATAATTTTGATGATTATGGCTTAGATTTGTACGAAAGCCCTGAACCGCAACGTTAAAAAAAAATGTAAAAAAAAAAAAAAAAAATGTGAAAAAAAAAAAAAAAATCTAGCATTTCCGGATTAAAGTCGAAAATTTTTCAGATTAAAATCGAAACATTTTGAGATTAATCTCGAAACGTTTCGACTTTAATCTCGAAATGCTAGATTTTTTTATTTATTTTTTTTTTTTTACGTTGCGGTTCAGGGCTTCCGTAGATATGAAAACCTTTCACAATATTCTAATTTTGAATTTGGGGTTTTCATAAACTGTAATTGATAATCATCAAAATTATAACAAATAAAGGCTTGAAATATCTCACTTTCCATGTACTGAGTCTATATAATATATTAGTTTCACCTTTTAAGTTGAATTACTGAAATAAATGAACTTTTGCACCATATTATAATTTTTCCAGTTTCACCTGTATATTATAAAATATATATTTTATATTTAAAGAACACATTTTTATTAAATATATACATGCATGTGTGTGTATTTAAATATACAAAATAACTATACACCGTACACACGCATCTATCAAACAAATGTTTACTTGGATGCGATTGATCATGATTAGTTGTCCAGTTTAAAGCAGGCGTTCACCTTTGCACTGGTTTGTGTTCTTGTCCAGGATGGCCTTAGTGGAGACGATCTTCCCATATCTGTGAGGATAGACATGATTAACATTATCAGACATTAAACATCAATCCAAGAGCATCATGGGTACTTTTACACGGTTTACACGTGCACTGCAGATTTCACAAGCGTCTCGTGTTCAGTTATTTGCACGTTCCTCCGCATTTAACAGACACTTAAAGAAACTCGCAGAAACACTTTTGTAACGTTTTATTTCTCACTTGAAATCAATAAGGAGCTAATAAAGGTTTCTTACAGTCGGAGTCAGTGTTTCGCCGCTGTACCTTTCAGTCATGATCCTGTACGAGCTTGAACCACAGTGTCAGAGAGTGTGTGTGGTTCAGCCAGAGTGTGTGTGTGTGTGTGTATAAATAATCTCAACCGTGTCAGTCTGTCATCTTTTCTCTCTGTGTGTCTCTGAGAGTGTGTGTGTGCGCATGTGTGTGTGTGTTGACTCACGGCTGGCAGAGTTTGACGAGGTCGTGGTCGCTGGTTCCAGGGTGAAGTCCTCGGATGTACAGGTTGGTTCGGCTGAGCGGCTCCACTGCACTACAGCTGCTCCCGGGACTGGGCGGGGCCATCGAGTGAGAGGGCGGAGCCATCGGGTGAGGGGGCGGGGCATACGGCTGATGACACACAGAGCGGGAGGGGTTAACCTGCATGTTCATACAGAGCTCCTCCCACAATAATCATCCACATTAACATCTCCATTCTCCTTTATGAACATATCCAGTGGAGTTCATCTAACAATGAGTACCTTCAATCTGAGAATCACTCCACTGGGGCAAAAGAAAAGAAAATAACGGCCAAATGAGTCAATATTTGCATGTTTCTGGATCAAAGAGCAGCATATTGTGCTTGTTTTATTGCTTCAGTGTGAGTTACTGTCTATATATATATATATATGAAGAGTTCATGAAGTGCCATTTGAAATTTTCTTCTAAAATGACCAATATATTATATGACAGCACTATGCTATATAATTATATATATATATATATATATAGTTTACAATTAAAATAAGATAAAAAAAATATGACAATTAATACATATTATTTTTTTCTTTAATAAATTATCTTAATATATATATATAATTGTATATTTGAAGAGTTCAGATGCAAAAGCCTCTAAATGCCATTTGAAATTTTCTTCTAAAATGATCATTTTTATCAAGCTTGTATATTTAAGTTCAGTAATTTCACTTAAATGGCAATGAAGATTACCTATTAATTGTTATTTAAGTGAAATTACTGAACTTAAATATACAAGTTTGATAAAAATCATCATTAAAGAAGAAAATTTCAAATGGCATTTAGAGGCTTTTGCATCTGAACTCTTCATATATATATATATATATATATATCAGCATCAGACCTAAACACATCCTTGTGAGACCACGCACTTCCTAACACTATGTCTCTCTCCCACGATCCCTCTCTCTCTCTCGGTGGCCGTCTGTGTCTGTAGGAATGTGAACGTCACACACACATCGATTAGCTTTGTCTTAAAGGTCAGGCGTTTTACACAATGAGGCTGAAACACGCAGAATAAACACTAGAGTCGACTTATAATCGGGTTTACAGATATTTTCCTGTTATTTAAGCAGTTTGTCATAATCATGTATCGGTTTTGTAATATATCGGTTATATTGGTTTTTAACAGCAGAATGTGTTGAAAAACTACATTACCCATGATCCTTCAGAACATTCCACCAATCAGAAGAGTCGAAACAAGCTAAACACCAAGATCTCTTTAGCTCCGCCTACTCTGCCAATGACGTAATCGATTCAGTCTCAAAATGCTCTCAAAATATTTCAATACTTGTGTATTTATAAGCATATTTTGCAATAATCTTAAAATATATTAATGTCCATGTATATGATTAGCATTTTTAAATGAGTAGTTTCATATTTCTCCACCGTTTTTTACAGTATTTTTGCAATGCTTCGTGGGATTGTAGTTTTTCCTCTCAGTAAAGCTGTTAAGTTCACAGTTTTCTCTTTCTTGAAATCAAAGTTTGTTCTGCTCTGATTCATGACTTAAAACTCTTTAAGGGTAACTTTATTTAAATCCTTATGGGAGAAATGAATGTGAAAAAGCTTCCAGAAGCAGCGCAGTCAGAGCTAGCTATAGTGATCACACACACACACACACACACACACACACACACAGATGTATTACATCCCTAAATGAAACTGTTTGTGTTTTGGGGGGAAGAAAGCATGTATAAATTGATTTCCCACGACAGGCTTCCTCAGATCTACTGTTCTCTACATGACACACACACACACACACACACACACACACACACACACACACACAGCAGTATCAATTATGATCAACTCTAATATAGAGAGGATTTTGATTGAATCTATAAATGTTGACATTCATTTGCGCCCTGAGCTCACACACACACACACACACACACACACACACACACACAGGAGATTGAATTGGTTCTCTGTCTAGGTCACTTCTCAATCTATGCAGGTTAAGGCAACAGCGCCAATCACACACACACACACACACAAGGACACACACACACACACACACGCTCTATTTCATCATTAACTGCCCCTGGGTTACAGTGATTTCTGAAGGTCATGTGACACTGAAGACTATTTTTACTGTATATTCCCATGGAAACGGCTGTTTCAGATTATAATATTTCAGTGTTTTTATTATATTTTTGATCTATAAACAGAGGAGAGAGTGTGTGTGTGATTGAGTTTGTTCTCAGAGGAGCATCATGGGAAGATCACAGGAATAAGAGTTCAGAACGTTCGGAGACGCCTGATGAGTGTATGACGAAGGAACCGGTTAAACGAGAGGAACGCGAGCGCTGTTGTGCTCTCTGAACCCTGCACACGCGACACACACACACACACACACACTCCTGCGACAGGACGACATGAAGATTAGCTCAACGCCACGAAACAAGCTGAACGTCTGAACGAAACAGATGTGAAGAGCTGAAGCTTCACACAGACGAGCGTCACACACACACACACACACCTGCTGGGTGTTTATAGGTCGTGTTTAACAACACACAGATGTGCAGTATTTCATGCGTGCATCATTAAAACATCTACAGAAACAACAACAAATTTAACATACACACACACTCACAGTCTTTATAACTAATATTATACTATATATAAAACTATATCAACTAATTAATATCACAACACCTTACCAGTTGATTAAATCACACTTATTTCTGACATATTGTTTCAATATGCAAATGAAATATAATCTAATTAAATATGCACTAATTAGCACACATGTCCAGAACAGTAATCTAAAGCCAGGGTGATTTTGTTGATATATGTGTAAGGTTTTTACAGAGGCGATTTCGGATTTCAGTTTTTTTATGACTGTATAAATCAGAAAATATTGTCAAAAGACAGAAACAAATACATTTTCAGCATGTTTTTAGGAATAAAATGTTATATAAATCGGGTAAATGACGTATGAATAAACCTTCAGAATACTGAAATGAATAAAAATAAAGATTTTCGCTGCATTTTTATTGCAAATAGATAAAGTGCACTTAAATATCATGTTCAGGCATGAAACTCTAGGGGGCGCAGTCCGCAAGCAATCACATCATTAACGCATGGCACAAGCTGATTGGCTCTCCTGATCCTGCAGCCAATGAGATCGCTTGCTCAACATTTAAAGAGTCTGGTCTAGTGTTTGCTGAAAGTCATCCTCATTTATTTAGCGCTTTAACAATGTAGATTGTCTCAAAGCAGCTTTACAGAGATAAATATATCATTTAAGGTAGCAGAGATTGGTTGGGTTTTATTATTTTGACTTTGAACTGAACATGTGATGAACTGAAACGCTGATGGCGTTCACACGCGCTTTAAGAACTGATTCTATAGTTATGTGTGTTTGAGTATATGTGCATGATATATCGGCCAATTTTTATATATATCGGATATATCGGTTCATTTTTACTGTTATCGTTATCAGAATGGTAAGAAAATGTGGCCGATAAATTAAAGCCGATAAATAATGTATTATTCCCTTCAGCTGAGACACTTGTTGAGAACTGTTTATGTTTTTGAATTTCTTGAAATATGATTGAAATCTCTTCAAAAAATTTAAATCTGGTTCGGGACAACATGTGCAACGCAAATCTGTCATATTGGCTGAGAACATCATTATAATTGTGCGCTTGGGACATGCATTTAATTGTGAGACTTTTGTTTTTGTAATCAGGCTCTCAAAATTAGATAAAAAATTTGGATTTAAGTTTATCGGCCGATATATCGGTTTTCAAATATAAAGAATTATCGGTTATCGGTATCGGCCAAAATGTTCATATCGGTGCATCCCTACTACACACCATCCCTAAACAAACTACTGGTCTTGCCTATACATTTTAATACAGAATTTTCTTTTATTTGATCACTGCTGTGTTGGTGTCTATAAGCAGCAGAAAATCCATACCGTTAGCATGCTAAAACTATTGCGCGAGTTGTCAAGATTAAAATGTGTATTTTGGATGTTTTCCTTTTACTAGTCAAATTATGGAAGCAAAATAGCTTAAAAATCTCAAAATTGACCAGTAAATCAAAACATGTTTTTTTAAGATACTAAAAACATCCTGAGGACACAGACGAAAGAGCAATATCTAGCTAAGCTATTATTGAAATGTCTATGACTACAGTATAAGCTACAATATGTAGCTTTTTTGGCCACAAGAGGGCGCAGTTTCCAACATTAACAAAGGCATATGTTAATGACGCAGTGATGAGCTGAATGATGGGACTTGCTGTCAAGCTGATAGATCTAATAAGGATTAGTGAAAACACTCATGTTTTTTAACATTACAGTGGTATGAAGCAGGTCGCGATTGCTAATAATAGACATACACTCACCGGCCACTTTATTAGGTACACCTGTCCAACTGCTCGTTAACACTTAATTTCTAAGCAGCCAATCACATGGCGGCAACTCAGTGCATTTAGGCATGTAGACATGGTCAAGACAATCTCCTGCAGTTCAAACCGAGCATCAGTATGGGGAAGAAAGGTGGTTTGAGTGACTTTGAACGTGGCATGATTGTTGGTGCCAGAAGGGCTGGTCTGAGTATTTCAGAAACTGCTAATCTACTGGGATTTTCACGCACAACCATCTCTAGGGTTTACAGAGAATGGTCCGAAAAAGAAAAAACATCCAGTGAGCGGCAGTTCTGTGGGCGGAAATGCCTTGTTGATGCCAGAGGTCAGAGGAGAATGGCCAGACTGGTTCGAGCTGATAGAAGGGCAACAGTGACTCAAATAACCACCCGTTACAACCAAGGTGGGCAGAAGAGCATCTCTGAACGCACAGTACGTCGAACTTTGAGGCAGATGGGCTACAGCAGCAGAAGACCACACCGGGTGCCACTCCTTTCAGCTAAGAACAGGAAACTGAGGCTACAATTTGCACAAGCTCATCGAAATTGGACAATAGAAGATTGGAAAAACGTTGCCTGGTCTGATGAGTCTCGATTTCTGCTGCGACATTCGGAGGGTAGGGTCAGAATTTGGCGTCTACAACATGAAAGCATGGATCCATCCTGCCTTGTATCAACGGTTCAGGCTGGTGGTGGTGGTGTAATGGTGTGGGGAATATTTTCTTGGCACTCTTTGGGCCCCTTGGTACCAATTGAGCATCGTTGCAACGCCACAGCCTACCTGAGTATTGTTGCTGACCATGTCCATCCCTTTATGACCACAATGTACCCAACTTCTGATGGCTACTTTCAGCAGGATAATGCGCCATGTCATAAAGCTGGAATCATCTCAGACTGGTTTTTTGAACATGACAATGAGTTCGCTGTACTCAAATGGCCTCCACAGTCACCAGATCTCAATCCAATAGAGCATCTTTGGGATGTGGTGGAACGGGAGATTCGCATCATGGATGTGCAGCCGACAAATCTGCGGCAACTGTGTGATGCCATCATGTCAATATGGACCAAACTCCCTGAGGAATGCTTCCAGCACCTTGTTGAATCTATGCCACGAAGAATTGAGGCAGTTCTGAAGGCAAAAGGGGGTCCAACCCGTTACTAGCATGGGGTACCTAATAAAGTGGCCGGTGAGTGTATAACGCGCGAGTCCCGTGGATATAAAGGAATAAGGACATTTCATCCTATTGAACTACACGCAAGCGCTGGATTACTCACATAGGTCAGTTTAATAGACGAATTAAACTTGTGAGGAAACGCAGCGCTGTTCCACTTGGTATAACGCTACACTATATTACGTTATAATGTTATTCTACGTGTTAGTTCGTTTGCTATACGAAACTAGCAGCTAGATCAACATAAGTATAACATACTGACCATATTCTAACATTTCATCATGTCAAGCGAACGTTATAACATTGATTTGTTTGATTACATTTGCTCACATGTCTAATAAAGCTGAAAAGTCGTGACTCGTAAAGTTCTGTAATTAGCCGCGGACGTCAGTCTCGGCCGCTAGCTTTCGGCATCCCAAAAACATCACGCTGATGTTGATCCTCATTGTAGTTCTCCTTGTTTGTCTCAAAGTCTGCTTGCCATGGTCAAACGTTACTCACTACGCAGTTGTCCGCGTCTGTCGCCATGGTTACGTCATGGCTATGGGAGTACGAGCGGAAACGATGATAGCGCGGATATTGCGCCATTGACTTTTTTTTTCCAGGACGGCCACTTATTAAAAAATTGGGATTTCTCTGAAATAAAGAACTTTGGAGACTTTTGGGATATTGTGAGTACACAACTGCAGGACATATATCACACTCTGCAGGTCATTTTTGGATATTATATTACAAAATTCTTACAGATTGGACCTTTAAGATCTAAAGATTCCCTGATATTCCCATGATCATGAGAAACTGATCCTTATGCATACACATGCAAACACAGCGGATGACAACAGCACAGCTGCAAACCCTAAACAGAACACCAATACACACCCTATGACACACACACACGTTTAGCTGTGTATGCAGCGACAGTAAAAAGCGACGCTAAATCAATTCTACCTTTGAGACCGTCCCCGAAGGGAGGAAACATCAGATATAAATCACTTCTGGAAGCAAATCTGTCCTCAAACTATAACTAATTAAACACACACACACACACACTCACACTCATGATCTTTTAAGCCCCAACTGAGCAAGACAAACGTAAAAGTGGTGTGTGTACATGTATTCGCACACTCACACACACACACCGTCTGCGCTTGTCTTGCTCAGTTAATTAGATCAGGTAATTAATGTTAACTAATGAAGCGTATTGTAAATGTTCTAGAAGAGCGTGTTTTCGATAGATGTGTTGAATAAACACTGAACTCTATAATCTTCGGCTTTAGCTGGAACTGAACTCATGAACACTGTTATGAACGGTTTGAATCAATCTGTGTTGTGTAAAGAGCTCCAGAAATAAATGAGATTACAACCGTCAACTCGTGTAAGTGTCAATCAGACCTTCATCATCATCATCATCATCATGACATGATCTATTCATATATGTTTTGTTTGTTTGTTTTATGATTTATATTTAGTATATTAATGCGTTGGCAGCATCGCGATACACAGTCATGCTAATATTGAAAATTGAGCAGAAGCGCGAACAAAGAGAGGAGAAGTGTGTGTTTCCCGGTACCTTACTGTAGTAGCAGGTGAGATACGGGAACATCTGATGCGGATCCAGTGCCTTTCCCATCAATCTGCAGTCTGGAGTCCCTGACGGACCGGTGCGAGGAAGAGGAGCTCCTCCGAGACACTACAGTCCAGCACACACACACACACACACACACAGAGAGAGAGAGACAGTCCGAGGTCCGTTCCAGCATGAGGAGAGGAGAGGAGCGTGTGTGTGTGTGTGTGTGTGTGAAGCGTGTGATTCCTGCTCCAATAACAGCATCAGGATCAGGGGCTCGACTGTGGAGAGAGAGAGAGAGAGAGAGAGAGAGAGAGCGAGAGAGAGAGAGAGAGAGAGAGAGAGAGAGAGAGAGAGAGAGATCCCTCTACTGGTGATAAATGAAACAACACGACAGAAGCATCAATTAAACACACATCTGTGTCTCCAAAGCTCGTTAACTGCCTAACTAGACAGCATTCGGGGTTTGTACATTTCCATGGAGTTGTTTAGCAGACACTGGCCACACTTATACATGAATCCCAATCGTTTCCTGAAGATCCTTCATTTAAACATTTACATTGCACATTTACATTTACATTACATTTACTCACACTCTCTCTCTCTCACACACACACACACACTCACACACACACACACACACACACACACATCACTTGTTTTGAAGATCCAGTTAGATATGAGAGAGAAAAGAGAAGAGACCTGATGTAAATAGAGCAGAACGGATCGCTCTCTCTCTCTCTCTCTCCTCCCCTCTGTCTCTGTTCACTGTAGTTCAACACAACGGTGTGTGTGTGTGTGTTCCCACTTTATCTTCAAATCAGCTGTTTAACTCCAGGTGTGTTTCAGTTCCCTGTGGTTAAACTCATCCTTGCTTCAGTCGTGTCTGTGTGTGTGTGTGTGTGTGTGTGTGCGTGTGTGAATGTGGACGAGCGGAAATTAAGAATTTTCATCTTTCACTGAACAACTCGTACAGTAAAGTCACTGACTGAGTCCGAGGCTCCATAAATACCCAAACTTCTAAACTATCTGGTCTGAAGTGCTGGAGAACATCTGTCCAGACACCAATAGTCTCGCCCACGTCCGGCACACATCCGGTAAACATCCGACACGCATCCGGCAAACAGCCGGCAAACATCCGGCATGCATCCGACACGCTTCCGACACGCTTCCAACACGCTTCCGGCAAACATCCGGCATGCATCCGGCAAATATCCGACACGCATCCGACACGCTTCCGGCACCCTTCCGGCAAACATCCGGCATGCATCCGGCAAATATCCGACACGCTTCCGGCACCCTTCCGGCAAACATCCGGCATGCATCCGGCAAACATCAAACACGCTTCCGACACGCTTCCGGCAAACATCCGGCAAACATCCGACACGCATCCGACATCCGAACACGCATCCGGCAAACATCCGACACGCATCCGGCAAACATCAGAGACGCTTCCGGCAAACATCCGACATGCATCCGACACGCTTCCAACATGCTTCCGACACGCTTCCGGCAAACATCCGGCAAACATCAGAGACGCTTCCGGCAAACATCCGACATGCATCCGACACGCTTCCAACACGCTTCCGACACGCTTCCGGCAAACATCCGGCAAACATCCGACACGCATCCGACACGCATCCGACATTCGAACACGCAAACATCCGGCATGCATCCGGCAAACATCAGAGACGCTTCCGGCAAACATCCGACATGCATCCGACACGCTTCCAACACGCTTCCGGCACGCTTCCGGCAAACATCCAGCATGCATCCGGCAAACATCTGACACGCATCCGGCAAACATCTGACACGCTTCCGACAAACATCCGACACGCATCCGACACGCTTCCAACACGCTTCCGGCAAACATCCGGCATGCATCCGGCAAACATCCGACACGCATCGGGTAAACAGATGTGGGCCGGATCTGGGCCGACACTGTTGCTGTCTGGGAATTAAACCTGATTGAGGACGTGGATCGAGAGTAAACAGGCCACTGCATAATATTACAATTCACATTTAAAGAACAATCCACTTCACTATTCCCTACATATAAACACACACGAAATAATAAAATGAAGATTCCTCATACTTCCTTCAATGGCATGTTTTGTTTTGGAAACTTGGTCCTGGTTTGGGCCTCTCTGTTCTGATGTATTTAGCTGATTATTGTGGGTTATGCATAATTTAATATGCATTAAAACAGTAAACTTGACAATCAACTCGACATTTGCAATATCTGGAGATCTGCTCTTTGGAAGCGACTTGGCGAGAGTCAGCAGGACACATCATCAGTTTCATATCTATACGTCATCAATATGAGATGAATCAGATTAACACTCACCGTGTGGTTCAACGTCAAACACACACATGTGTGTGTGTGGAATCAATCCCAGAATGCCCTGCAGATCTCCATCGCTCCCGGAGCTGTTCTGGGGAAGGAGGTAATCAGACGCTCATCAAACATTAATGCGCTCAAATGGCATAATGGGCTCTGATATGAAATCTGCAATTACCTCTTATGCTCATATTACAGCAAATGACTGACATGACACACACACACACACACACACTATATTAGTGCGCTCCTCTCATTGACTTCCATTGGTTTTCTGTGCTCTGGAAGCTGCACAGATTTATTCTGAGGATGATTAATATGATTAAAATTGGAAATTAATGATTAAAAATGAATACATGTTCATTTCTGATATACAACTTACACAGTTTCCTCTGATAACAGTCTCTCTAAACTGCGATGTGGACTCGAGCACTTCTGTGAAGCTGCTTTGACACGATGTGTGTTGTGAGAAGCGCATTACAGATAAACGTGAACTGAATGATGATGAAGATGATGATGACGATTCTGCATTGATTCAGTTTTTTCTTCTCTTGCTCTTTCTCAGCTCTCGCTCGAGTCCGTCTCTGCCGGTCCAGATGGTGGAGTGTGTGATGGAGAGGCGAGTGAACGGCCTTGTGGGAAATGCTGCAGACGTGCTGTCCGCTGTGTGCCATCCCTCCATCACTCCTAATGAACGAGAGCGCTGGGGGTTCTGGGTAATTGAGCTACTCACAACACTGAGGGCCGTGTCAGACAAACACACAAATCAAGAGTGATGGGGTGCTGACACCCTGCAGGCCTTTAAAGACACACACACACACACACGCACAAACACACAATCACCCACACACACACACACGTTTTTTAATTGTTTAACTTTTATTTGGTTTTATATTGATTGTTTTATTTTCATTTATTTAAAATAAAATATTTTATCATTTACTACTATTTTTTTTTATTTTGGTTGCCTTATTTTAAATTTCAAATTATTAATTTAAAATTAAAATTAAATTAATTTTAAATAAAATATTTCATTATTTTCTATTAATAATTTTCCTGTTTTATTTTTTATTACTTATTTTATTTTAAATTGTAATTTCTTATTGTATATATTATTTTAATTAGTAATAAATAAAATATTTAATTATTTTCTATTCATTGTTTTAAGATTATATATGTAATTAAATATTTATTGACTTAAAACAAAATCTTTTTATATAGTATTTTGTTTTGATTAGGAATTTTATTGATTTTAATTGATTTTTCTTTTTAAATCGTTATTTTCTACTAATTGGATGTATTAATTTTCAATTCTTTCTTTTAATTTTGTCTGAACATCTGAAAAAACTCTGGGATTGAGATTCCCAGAGAAGAGCCGACACACACACACACACACACACCTGAGGCGACCGATAATAATCAAGGTTAAACAAACTGAATGCCTTAAATGTGAAGCAAATAGTCTAAATTGCTAGTAACATTTCCCATGATTCCTGATATGATCCACACTGTAGAAGGAAAGAGCATTTACATTCATGCTTTAATCCAAAACTTCTTATTTTTATCTTCGCAAAACATAGTTGCAGTATGTGTCTTCTTAAGAGTGATGTTTGTTTCTGTCGGGTTTATCCTGACTGCACTTCCCCTCGGGATGAACACAGTGTTATCTCATCAGTTCCTGCATTCCCAGGATTCGAACCCTGACCTCAGCGTTGCGGTTTCAGGGTTAGAGATGTGAAGCGTCGTCACGGTGACCGGCTGATGCGCAGGGACAGATTCTGATTGGCCATTTCACGGTTTGCTGGCTCACTTTCCCTCCGCCGGAGATCTCCCGCTTTCGTGAGGAACACGAGAGACGGCGACTGGAGCATAAATGTGAAGAAGAGCATCGTCATCCTTCGATGTCTCACACACACACACACACACACAGTTCGCTCTGAAGAGGGAAGACGAGGGGACTGAGGAAACAGACAGAGATCCAGCCGAGATCTCCTCAGGTGTCTGGGTAATTACCATGGAAACGGCTCCATTTCCCTGTGCATTATGGGGTGGCGGAAGTGTCCCTGAAGGCGTACTGTAGTTTCAAAACACGACAACATGATGACCATGGGCTGTTATGAGTCTATACTATAATAGAGCAGCGATTCACAGTAAACCCCTAAAATATTGAAATTTACTTCATATTTAGGTACTTGAACTGAAATTAAGGTCATTTTTTAATCATTTATCACAGTCATATTTAGTGTTTTCCGATGACATTTAATGGTTAAATAAAACATTCAAATATTTTTTAGTAAACGTTTACACTGTTTTATTTTATTTTAGCGATGCATTAAAGAACTAAATCAACTGTTAAACAACAGATTGGAGATTAAAATAATCTCAGATTATCAAATTTTATATAAACACAAAAAACAGAGATGAAAAATTAACTTAGGTAAGAACTGTACTTTTGCTATGGTTAAATGTTCAGTGATATCTTACAAAGATTTCTGAATTTTGGAGCCATCTTTTGCTCTATATAGTGTTGAAATGGCAACTAGTAAATACACAAAGTTTCGTCATTTCGTCTTTACCGAAGCTAACGTTACCGTAGCTAACTTTACCGAAGCTAACGTTACCGTAGCTAACGTTGCCGAAGCTAACTTTACCGAAGCTAACTTTACCAGAGCTAACTTTACCGAAGCTAACGTTACCGAAGCTAACTTTACCGAAGCTAACTTTACCGGAGCTAACTTTACCGGAGCTAACTTTACCGAAGCTAACTTTACCGGAGCTAACTTTACCGAAGCTAACGTTACCGAAGCTAACTTTACCGGAGCTAAGTTTACCGAAGCTAACTTTACCGGAGCTAAGTTTACCGAAGCTAACTTTACCGAAGCTAACTTTACCGGAGCTAACTTTACCGAAGCTAACTTTACCGGAGCTAAGTTTACCGAAGCTAACTTTACCGGAGCTAAGTTTACCGAAGCTAACGTTACCAAAGCTAACTTTACCGAAGCTAACGTTACCAAGGCCAACTTTACCGTAGCTAACTTTACCAAAGCTAACTTTACCGAAGCTAACATTACCGAAGCTAACGTTACCGAAGCTAACTTTACCAAAGCTAACTTTACCAAAGCTAACTTTACCGAAGCTAACGTTACCAAGGCCAACTTTACCGTAGCTAACTTTACCGAAGCTAACTTTACCGAAGCTAACTTTACCAAAGCTAACTTTACCAAAGCTAACTTTACGTTACGCCGTCATGCCTGAGTGTGTTGTACCAGACTGCACACGAGCAGCAGATCTCGCTCATTGTTTTGCTTCCCGGGAGATGTAGTTCATGAGCGATTTTCACATAAAACTAAACGTTACTCTTCTGTTTTATGACAAACTGCGACTTTCTTGACTTTCACAATTATCTTTTAAATCGACAAACATCATATGTGATCAATATCATATGTTCACCCGCTAGAGAAGCATTCAGGTTTTCCGCTTGCAAAGTCCGCCACGTAAATTGCGAATCCGCCATGGAGTGAGCGCAACTGGCTGTTAGGGAATGGGAGATGAGACTCTGATTGGTTTATTGCACATTACGCCCCAAACACACCCATTACTCATTAAGAGAATAGACCATGCACCGGGAGCACCGACCATTTTTCCTGTCGTTAAACTAGCAAACGTGTATTCAGACACACACTAAGTGCACTTCAGACCATACGCTTAGACCCTTCAAAGAGGGTCCATAATGACCTATAACGTGGACGAGATCCACTGCCGATCAGTCAGAGAGACTGTTGCGTTCGACAGTGTCCAGTCCGCACTCAAAAACTCATTAAAATCAGTCCCCTGGCGTCTTTTCATCTGCATTATGACAAAACGTTTCGTTAGGCAGAACATTAGCGCTGCCAAAGCAAGAAATCTCAATCTGTTTGAGACACTTCTTGTGTTGTGAAGGCGAGATTGGCAGCGAGATCAACAAACCGTGGATGGAGGTGGCAGGTGTAGTGAAGACGGGTTCTGTCTCTTAATGAGCTCGGTCTCCGGCGGATCGGATTTCACACACACAGCAGATTTCGCCGGCTCCATCCACACTGTTCATCACGGGGAATTGGAGATCCACAGACTCCTGGCACAGCAAACACACACAGAACAAAACTGACTTCTTCAACGTGAGACTTTACAGGACATCTTTCATATTTCACTGATATTAGGATGCAAAACCAGTTCAAAATACAACAAAAACTACATTTATGATTTATCAGTCCCTCCAGAAAAACGCGATTATGCGATCGCTGAATTCAATGCAAAATCAGCCAAAGTCCGCATATTTATGCGGGGGCCGAATTTTTTCAAATACGCCGCACTTTCGCCGCATAAATTGCCGATTTCCGTGCAAAATATGCGGGGTTTGCATAATTACAAATTACATTTTCGTTGCAAAAAAAGTCACATGTATCTTAGCAGAAAGTTGAAAAATGTTGCGTTTGCTTCACACAAGAGCAGCCATTTCCCCCTGTTTCCATGGGAACGTTATGAAGTGACGCAAGCGACGCCAGACAGACTCACGGGACCCTCACGGAGGCGATTGACATCTCACAAATCGAACTCGTATAACTGTCTGTCACACGTTCTACCGTCACATCGTTACTTAATAAACAACATAATATAAAAGAAGTAGCATCAAAAAGAAATTACCCGCACACATGGGGTGTTTGAGGCGCACATATAACACCGCAGAGAGTTCAACAGGGAGCGCGCAGCTCTTAAAGGGGCCACACCTTATTTACACACGTTACAGTCTGAAGTAAAACAAAATGAGTTCCCAGCACTTTCTATGATGTATACTTGCTTATCAAAGGAAGTAATAAGAAATGACTCTTACATTAGCCTAGTGAGAACAGGATGTTGGGGGAATCACTTTTTTTCTCTTTTTCATCAAACCGCAATTTTTGCAAGTTCCCTCAATTTTTGCAAATTCCTGCAATTTCATCGCATAAAATTGCATAAATATCCCGCATATTCCATCGCATTTTTAAAGAAAACGGGCTGTGTAATCAATCAATTTTTGCCAGCAACAATCACAAAAAAAACTCAGCGTTTTTCTGGAAGGACTGAATACTATTATGGTAAATGTTATATATAAATCGCAATTTTTTTCACAAATTTTTGGAAATTACCACCACAAAATCAGTCATTTTGATCGCAAAAATCACAAAAAAAAATCGTGAAATCCTGGTGGGACTGATACTAATCCTCA